TATATATATATTTTTTTTTTTTTCACTTTTTTTGTATAAAAATGTCAATTCTTACAATTGAATTTCCATTTATGTTTCTTTCAATATATATGTACACGTTGAGCTACTGTCTGACTGTAAACTTTTTATTTAGTATCTATTGTAGGCTATGATAATTTTATCTTACGTAATACAATTTCAAAAATATTTTTCTTACCTCAAAAAGACCCAAAGCATATAGAATTTCTTGAAATTAATATTTGCAAATTTGAAAACTCATATGTCTGGTAACGAATAAAATGATTTTTTTTTCTCAAAAACAATAATTTAAAAATTACAATGATTTTTAAGGCAAGTTAACATGATTGCTACCCTCAGTATAAATTTAAGATAACATTTATACACATTTACAGTATATAATACAATGAATAACTCGTAACTTATTCCTTGAAGATTTGCGTGTTAAACGCATGTGCTTACGAAAATCATGGGTAAAATTTCAGAGGCAAGTGCCGTACGATTAAAAAGTAATGTTATTGTAACGAAAGACAATAAATTTATCACTTCAGTAAATATAAAATTTTTTTACAAGCAAGCGCGCGATGTTGATACATCTTGTGTAACATCAGTATAGTCATTTAATGACAGTTTTTTACCGATTTATCGTTTGCTAAAAACTAATGATAAAGTAGTCAATTCCTGTTTAATCGGCAGATTTTTTTTTTTTTTTCTATCGGTGATTGAAAACTTTTTGACTAGATATAAATATAAACGTTAGAAGAGCATTTACTTTGTTTACGTATGTAATCGAATAGCAAAAGCATCGTCGACGGAAAAAAAAAAAAAAAAAAAAAAAAATCTCTTATTCATGCAAAACCACTGGCTACATCAATAAAAAAGCTCTACTCGTAAAATACGAAAATCTTGTCCGAGACTAGAATTAAATAATAAATAAAATATAAAAATTTCGATACGTCGTATAGAGGAAAAAAAAAAGATAAACAAATGGTGCTAGTACTAATTACATGACGGAACACTTTGACGAACGTCGGCGCTTTCGACGATTCTTCTCTAATTCCGTAGGAGGCTGATTCCTTATGATACGTACGACCTGCGAAAAACACACGATTGATGAATTTTGAATGATTGAGAAGCCAGTTATGAAAAAAGTGCATTGCGTGATATGGAAACCTCGTGAAAAGCAGCATCGACGTTCAAGGGAGGATCCTTGGCTGAAGTTTCGATGTAAGGAATGTCCAGCTTGTGAGCTAATTCTCTGCCCTGCTCCTCGGTAACTTTGCGCAGGTGGATCAGATCGACTTTGTTGGCGACGAGCAGCATCGGGTATACGTCCCTGTCCTTGACCCGCAAGATTTGTGTATGAAAATTGACAATGTTTTGGTAGGACTGCTTGTCGGTGACCGAAAACACGAGAAGGAAGCCATCACCCTTGCGCATGTACTGCTCCCTCATCGCGCTGAACTCCTCTTGACCCGCCGTATCCAGCACTGCGAGAAAATAATAATAAGTACAATCAAGTACGAACGACGTTCAATCAGGCTGTAGGTGTAATACGCATATATTATAATATGTATAAGTACTTGCCATCGAGGACACACCACTGCTTGTCGACCTCGGTGTGCTGTATGTAGCTGTCCTCGATAGTGGGGTCGTAGTCTGTGACGAAGAGCTTCTGGAAGAACTGTATGGTCAGGGCGCTCTTGCCGACACCGCCGTCGCCGACCACGACGAGCTTGTAAGTCACAAGGTTCTCATTGTTGGGTGGACGAGTCATGCCGATTCCTGAACGGGCTGCGCCGCTGTCGATCTCGGGATTAATCCTGATGATTCCCCCCCCCCCACCCGCCCACCCTCTCTTTTCGGCTCGTGATTATCTCGTCGACCTCTGAAATTCGTAATGATAATGACGACGAATGAAAATTGCACATAACAAGTTTTATCATAAATTTTACACTTATTTTTACTAAAGTCTGTATATTACATGCACGGGGAGTAGGTGATTAGCAAATCACACAGACAGACCCGTGCCTTGACAATGAATTTTACCAATTAGATGGGCCCATGGTGACACATTTCAGTCTACCCGTAAATACAGCACTACTCGATCGTGTCGATACTTGAGTACGCTGTAGAGATTATTTATTCATCAACAAATACTTGATAATGTGAATTCCTATGTGGCTTTAATAAATCAATGTTACAACCAAAAATACAATTAATAAAATTCTTAAGCGGAAGTTTAATAAGTTGACATCTATTTTCATCGTTTGATAATATTGAATGTAACCCTTTAAACATTAATAAAACACGAATCTCCGCGATGATTTTCGAATTTATCAAGATTTATTAATATTTTGCACAGCTTTTTAGTGGGCTTTTTTATTTATCGTATATTATTGCTCGTGTTATGACATTAGATGGGAAAAAAAAAAATTTGTTCCTAAAATTGTATTGGTATCATCCTTTAAAGTTGTATTAAATATACATACAAGAGATTGAAGGTAATTGTAAAAAGAGATACAACTACTTAATAATCGAATTTCTGCGCTTGTTGTCGTCCGTAAACCTTTTTTTTTCTGATAAATAATCATCAGTCCGCCACAAAGCACCGCACGTAAGTATAATGACAAGCGATTGAGCTTGAGTTTTTCTAACGAAATAAACAATTTTTAAAGAGAGCGCTTTTTAGATTAATGAGAAAATCATCGTAAGAAATTTTTGTTAACGTATAAGTAAAAAGAATACTGATAAATGTACTTTACAAAAGAGTTATTTTGGCCATTTATGCGACGGATTGTTATCGCTCGTACAACCTTGTCCACTATCATTCTGTTCGTGCTGCATTACACATACGAGATTCCATGTGAATATTAAAAATTTGAGGACAAGAGACCAATTTTCTCTATATTGCCTTTTTAATCATTAACTGTTTTCGATGCGTGTCTCATTCACCTGCAATTATTATTAAGTATCCTTTGTTCGCCTCTCATCCACCCAAATAATATAATATATATTTAATGTAGTTTATCTGCAGTTACTTTGAATTATTATTATTATTATTATTACTACTTGCAATTTTTTTTATTTCAGAGATGATTATTATACAAAATTGTTGAAAAATTTAGAGCCTCTATCTATTAAGGTCCGAAAAGCTGTAAAATTTAAAGATGGACCAGAATTCAAGGATATTGAAAGATATGTTATGCGCAGCGAACCACGTGGTTTAGCGTTAATCATAACAAATATTGCATATGAATACTACGTCAGCCGGCCGTCTGCAAAGTACGATGAAGACAATTTGAATATACTTTTCACAGAAATGGGGTTCAAAACAATAGTGCGTAGGAATTTGACAGGAATCGTAAGTTGTATTTCTTTAGATTTTCAACCATAAAAACGTAAGGAAACTTTATTTATATGTATTATACAAATGACTCAGGAAATCAAGAAAGAAGTTAAAGAATTTTCTAAAATGAAAGAATTACGCAGAGTAGATGCCGCATTTATTATAATATCATCCCATGGTCATGGAGAGTATGGAAAACAAGAAACGGAAATTCAAGGCACTGATTATCTATCACCGAATTACAAATCAGTATTTTGTACAGACATAATAGATTATTTCACAGCGGAACAATGTCCTAATCTTTGTGGTAAACCAAAGATATTTATTTTTCAAACTTGCAGGTCAGTATTATGTTCAGTCATTTTATTACACATAAATGGCACATTTAAACTCAAGTGTTGTTTAATGTGATCCATTTTTTATTGTAAACATTAACACTCTACTTTAAAAATGTTTCAACACGGTAAACCATGTCAAATGTATTTTTACATACATTAAAATTTTTTTAAGTATTTAATTTTCCTTGAGTGTTCAATAGTGTCATATAATTGCACAAATTGTAGCTGAATGCACGCACTTTTTCGTCATTTTATGTTTGAAAACAGTGTTAATGTTTATATGCTTAATTTTCAGCGACATAAAAAATGAAAATTCTCAAAGATGTACTAAGATAGATCGAAACAGCGTGAGCTTAAATAAATCATCAAATTTTTCTTTTAATCATATCAGGGGTAATACTCATCAAAAAGCTGTTTCGAGAAATGTCACGGATACAATATCAACAGAACATCCTGATTCCGAACAACCATATGACTTATCTTCTCGTAATTATGAAGATACTCTGATAGCTTATGCCACATTACCTGGTTACGTTTCTTATCGAGACAAGTACACTGGAAGTTGGTTCATACAAATTCTGTGCGAAGTATTCATGAACTATGCATGTGAAAGACACATACAAGATTTGTTTGTCATGGTATGATATCTCAAATGTGGTTGTTGTGTTTTATCAAGTTGAATTAATATCTGATAACTAAATCGTCCACTTTCAGACTGATAGGAGATTAAAAGACTTGAGGACTGGGCACAACGGTTGTCAAACATTATGGGTGATCAATCAAGGATTCCATAAACATTGCTATTTAAATCCTGGTTTGTTTCACAAGCCTGGTGGAGAAAATAAATAGAAAGCATCTACTGCCAAATTATGAACTAATGCATTTATTTTTTTTTTACTTGAAATGCAAATATATTTTTTACTATTTGTGGATTACCTATTTGGTTGGAAGAATTTAAAACTTCGAGGAATCAACTTTGAACCCTTAAAGTAGATATTAATTTCAATTGATCGACTTTATTAGGAAAAAAAAAAAATTCTTATCCATTTATTTTATATATGTGACAGTGTACTTTGTAAAAAAATCGACTTGAGTATAGTAAATAGATTGAAATAAGTAGCTATTCTTATTTATTTTCAAGTTTGCCAGTGATTTCGATTAGTTTTTTCACTTTTCTTTACTGATTTCTACCAGCTAAAGTAACACGGACAGTTTATTCTTATCAATATTTTTATTTAGTAAAACGTATCTGAAAATTTCATTCATTTATTTATCCCAGATCGATTTGAACTGTCTTTTACAAGAGAGTATAGGGTGTAACATATACTTTTGTTACAGGCATCAGAGATCATCTGCTTTATATCTATGATATTAAGTATTTATGTAACATGAAAAATCTGCAGGTATGTAAATGTGGATTTACCGTATAATTACAATTGCGGCTTTTTATTATTTGAAGTCTTCAGCGCTGCGCGGCGCTCATGCGCGCTCGCTTCCCTTCGAATTTCGATGCGCTCAGCTCAGCTGTTGTCATGAAATATACGTAATGCTCATGTTCTTACATCCTATAGGTATTAAGGATTAAGGTGTGTGGTTTATAGTATAGGTTATACACATAAGTATGTATTATATTTTGTTTTGTATAGGTGTTTAAAGTACTGACAGCGTGCATGGGCCATGGAGTGCGGACTAATCCGATATTGGCGTTGACGTGATGCATGTCCTTGGTAAAGACGTCGACCAACGTTTATCAACAAATTGCACAACGATATGATAAAACGATTTGCGTTAGATAAAAACTCGATAATTTTAAGTGCAAATTGTTACATTATCTCGCAAGAGCGAGCTTTTCATGCAGTAGCTCCGTGAGATGTAAAAAAAATTAAAAGTAATTTTGCTATAGAAAGAAAGTATATCATGACTACCATGAGAGCTTGAAAGTGTGTGTAGTTGTAGTAGTGATGCCGTGGTGCAAACGTGAATCATCCGGTCATCCATTGGCCGAGGAGGCTCAGCACAAAGGAAAAACAGCGGAGATAGCCTGCTTTGAACCCTCTCCACCTCCACCTCCGCTGCCTTTTCTGTACCTGCACCAACACGTTTCCCGATACTCTCTCGATAGCGACAGACCAGTTCCCATTTCTTTTTCTGTTCTCTCGTTACTTATCTTCCTTATTGTTTTTTAAGTTAGTATCTCGCCACCGCTATTCTTTTTATTCGCAAGGGCTTGTATTTATGACTCCTAAACTGCCTGATCTACTCGGGGAACAATGGATTACAAAGACAGAGAGAAGGTCAACTACATGTGCAATCGGCTGTTGCAATGCATAGATATAAACAGGTTGTGGCCCAAACTCTTGGAGAACGGGGTCTACAACAGAGATGATGTAAATATTCCAAGCTGGCAGGTAGGGGCATCATTTTTTTTATTTACTATCAATAATTACAATAAATTAAAATTTTGCCAAGATCAACTGCTATAAACCACATTACAGAAGGACATGCCAAGTAGAGAGACTGTTTATGACATTTGCTCCACTATTAAAACGAGAGGACCACATGCTTACGACAATTTAATTTTGAGCCTCAATGAATCTGGGCATCACAGTATTGTTCAAGAGCTAAAAAACTATCAATCTTCTCCCAGCAGTGGTAGCAGTGGCCACAAATTTTTTCAAACAAATGATCTGCATTCTGTGGAAGCATCTAATAATCATACAGAAACTACATCAAGCTCTCCAGAACCATCTATTTCCAGCTTTGATGATAATTCCAAGTAAGTTTAAATCGTTGCAATCATTTCATTTACATTGTTCAAAATATATTTTTCATTTAGTATTTTCCTTTATCGTTCTTATCTTATTAATGAATATTGTTTATTTTTTTATTTTTTTTTTTTTTATGTTATTTAAGTAGATTTGGTGGTAGCTTTGTTTTTAATACTGTAAGCTTATCGAAATACGTTACTTTGAAATCGATTCCGTGATTAAATTAAAAATTAANTTATTATTATTAATTTTATTGCTATTATTAATTTTCCTACGCAGATTCTACGAAGATTTAGCTAAAATTACTTGCATATTTTTACGGATTGCTTTGCGCCTTGACTATCATCGATGGAATATCTGAATATTCTGAACCCTATCTGCAGCACACAAATGATGACATTGTCATAAAATTTTTTAGGGAGACAAGGATAGCAACGTACATGCAAGTGGCTGTGCATGTGTGTGTGTATACTAGGTATACTCGGTGGTTTGTTCACTCGTGAGCTACCAAAAAAATATCTCCAAGTATCGATACACTTGAACTATTACTACCAAAGACTTGTGATAAATACCAAAGTACTTATTAGGCAAGCGTGCAGTAAGTACGGCGCACAAGTTTTACACGATCATTAGAAACACGCAGTGCAATTTGACGGACATGATAATGTATAAGGTGCGTCCACCATGAAAATAATCTCGAAAATAATAATAATAATAATAATAATAGTTTGCAGAATACAATTTATATTGTATGGGTAACATCACCTGTAGACAATATCTATAATATAAGGTACAACAATGGTAGTGCCATGTGTATAAATATTATTATTATTATTATTATTATTATTATATTGCCGCCTCTTCACATAATTATAAACCAAGACTAACGTGTGGCTCAGATTAAAAAAATAACATTGGAAATTCTGAGCCACGTCTTCGCTACGAGGAGGGGTCCGAGTCATGAATACATAATGTTGCTATATATAGTAAGAAATAATATCCAAATACTGCATACTTACATGCAGGACATGCTTACATTAAGTATCAATTGATCATTACACAAGTAGAGGAATTCAGATTCAGAGAGAACACCCACTAATAGGCATCAGAAAGGTATATGTATATGTATACGTACATATTATAAATATGTACTGAAGAGCATTAATTTGTAGAAGCAAGAGAGTAAGCATAAAGTATATGTATCCTACTTGGGCAAGCTTAACTATAATAAGTACTCACAATTATTTTTTTTTTCGTTACATGGTTAGGAGCTGCAGGACAGCGGGAAGCATCATATACTTATTAAGTACACGAGATGGACGGTTTAGAACGTTGGCCTTGATTTCCGGGCGTGACTCTTCTCTCGCCTCTTTCCGACGGGCTTTCTTCCCCTACACTCGCAGTCTACTTGTAGGTATATGTGTACACAACAACAGCCAGTGCAGAGCGCAGAGCCTTCCCGTGGTCGGTCGCCACGACGACTGAGTCTGCGCTTGCAGCCATCATCGGGGATCTTCGAAGAAAATAAAATACTTAATCATGGGTAGGTACACCGCTCCCCTGGCCTCCGCGTCGGCGCTCTCGATCCGTGTGTGTAGGTGTATGTACGAAACACAAAGTACGTGGATGATTCCACGAAACATTCTCCATCGTTTAGCTGTAAAAAAAATTTAAGTACATACGTAAATTACATTTTTTTTTCTACCCTCTGTACGTGTACGTCAAATACATTTTTTCAAGTCTACAAATACAAGTAATTGGGGGGGATGATGTTCTTTTTTGTTTTTAAAGTACGTTTCTAAAATTTCAAAACGTTGAACGTTAATGTACATTCATTAGTTACATGCTGGCTTTGATTTTTCTCCATCTATAATACACATAATTTCTAATAATACATAGATATAGGAGCATCGAAAGGATCATATTATACAATACATGCATATCCCATGTGTATGTACCAACATTAATATTTTTCTCTCTTTCTGCGATAGAGTCGCTGTAAACATCTGCACATGTGTGTGCGCGTGTGCATGTGTTATATTAACGCATATGTACAATTACATTTTACATATATAAGACGAAAAGTAAGTTATGAATAATAGCTTAATTATCGTATCTCTACTTTACCCCCCCCCCCATCCCAAAATACTATGACGAATGTCGATTCCACAATCTGCACGCATTGACCGATAACGATCCGGGGTTAACAAATCGCAGCTAAAAAAAAATAAAAAAAATTTGTAGCTGTGAGATGACTCAGCGTCGAGAGTCGAGATTGATAACAAAAAAACGTCTTCAACTTTACTAGATATATGATGATAACTATAATATTATTATACATGCAGTGCATATATTTATTACACGTCCTATAAGTGTGTATGCATACACTATGATTTAAGTCAATTAAAAAAAAAAAAAAATTACTTTAATCGGTTCCGAAAATGAATCCTAGGTCCATAAAATACCGTTGAAATTGATTGATTATGTGAATGCTAATTCAATTTAATTAGGTTACTCTGTATCGGAATGAATTATTTCAAAACCGACGTCACTGAGTGGCGAATTTTTAGAAATGTTGGAAGAATTTAAAACTTCGAGGAATCAACTTTGAACCCTTAAAGTAGATATTAATTTCAATTGATCGACTTTATTAGGAAAAAAAAAAAATTCTTATCCATTTATTTTATATATGTGACAGTGTACTTTGTAAAAAAATCGACTTGAGTATAGTAAATAGATTGAAATAAGTAGCTATTCTTATTTATTTTCAAGTTTGCCAGTGATTTCGATTAGTTTTTTCACTTTTCTTTACTGATTTCTACCAGCTAAAGTAACACGGACAGTTTATTCTTATCAATATTTTTATTTAGTAAAACGTATCTGAAAATTTCATTCATTTATTTATCCCAGATCGATTTGAACTGTCTTTTACAAGAGAGTATAGGGTGTAACATATACTTTTGTTACAGGCATCAGAGATCATCTGCTTTATATCTATGATATTAAGTATTTATGTAACATGAAAAATCTGCAGGTATGTAAATGTGGATTTACCGTATAATTACAATTGCGGCTTTTTATTATTTGAAGTCTTCAGCGCTGCGCGGCGCTCATGCGCGCTCGCTTCCCTTCGAATTTCGATGCGCTCAGCTCAGCTGTTGTCATGAAATATACGTAATGCTCATGTTCTTACATCCTATAGGTATTAAGGATTAAGGTGTGTGGTTTATAGTATAGGTTATACACATAAGTATGTATTATATTTTGTTTTGTATAGGTGTTTAAAGTACTGACAGCGTGCATGGGCCATGGAGTGCGGACTAATCCGATATTGGCGTTGACGTGATGCATGTCCTTGGTAAAGACGTCGACCAACGTTTATCAACAAATTGCACAACGATATGATAAAACGATTTGCGTTAGATAAAAACTCGATAATTTTAAGTGCAAATTGTTACATTATCTCGCAAGAGCGAGCTTTTCATGCAGTAGCTCCGTGAGATGTAAAAAAAATTAAAAGTAATTTTGCTATAGAAAGAAAGTATATCATGACTACCATGAGAGCTTGAAAGTGTGTGTAGTTGTAGTAGTGATGCCGTGGTGCAAACGTGAATCATCCGGTCATCCATTGGCCGAGGAGGCTCAGCACAAAGGAAAAACAGCGGAGATAGCCTGCTTTGAACCCTCTCCACCTCCACCTCCGCTGCCTTTTCTGTACCTGCACCAACACGTTTCCCGATACTCTCTCGATAGCGACAGACCAGTTCCCATTTCTTTTTCTGTTCTCTCGTTACTTATCTTCCTTATTGTTTTTTAAGTTAGTATCTCGCCACCGCTATTCTTTTTATTCGCAAGGGCTTGTATTTATGACTCCTAAACTGCCTGATCTACTCGGGGAACAATGGATTACAAAGACAGAGAGAAGGTCAACTACATGTGCAATCGGCTGTTGCAATGCATAGATATAAACAGGTTGTGGCCCAAACTCTTGGAGAACGGGGTCTACAACAGAGATGATGTAAATATTCCAAGCTGGCAGGTAGGGGCATCATTTTTTTTATTTACTATCAATAATTACAATAAATTAAAATTTTGCCAAGATCAACTGCTATAAACCACATTACAGAAGGACATGCCAAGTAGAGAGACTGTTTATGACATTTGCTCCACTATTAAAACGAGAGGACCACATGCTTACGACAATTTAATTTTGAGCCTCAATGAATCTGGGCATCACAGTATTGTTCAAGAGCTAAAAAACTATCAATCTTCTCCCAGCAGTGGTAGCAGTGGCCACAAATTTTTTCAAACAAATGATCTGCATTCTGTGGAAGCATCTAATAATCATACAGAAACTACATCAAGCTCTCCAGAACCATCTATTTCCAGCTTTGATGATAATTCCAAGTAAGTTTAAATCGTTGCAATCATTTAATTTACATTGTTCAAAATATATTTTTCATTTAGTATTTTCNGAGAAATATATTTTATACTGCATGCTACGTGTATAAGACTATATACGAGATTGGTCTCCCGAGTCGCGATAGTGAACTTGTTATTTTTTTTTTTTTTTTTTTTTTTATGGAACCTCCTATACGTTGTTCCATAGGATTTTCAAGATCAAATATATAACAATTATAATTTGATTTTCAAAGCTACATTACTTTTTTAATTGACAGCATAATTGTTAAATTCTGTTGGTAAACCAAACCATTATTGTTATTATTATTATTATTATTATTATTACTACTTGCAATTTTTTTTATTTCAGAGATGATTATTATACAAAATTGTTGAAAAATTTAGAGCCTCTATCTATTAAGGTCCGAAAAGCTGTAAAATTTAAAGATGGACCAGAATTCAAGGATATTGAAAGATATGTTATGCGCAGCGAACCACGTGGTTTAGCGTTAATCATAACAAATATTGCATATGAATACTACGTCAGCCGGCCGTCTGCAAAGTACGATGAAGACAATTTGAATATACTTTTCACAGAAATGGGGTTCAAAACAATAGTGCGTAGGAATTTGACAGGAATCGTAAGTTGTATTTCTTTAGATTTTCAACCATAAAAACGTAAGGAAACTTTATTTATATGTATTATACAAATGACTCAGGAAATCAAGAAAGAAGTTAAAGAATTTTCTAAAATGAAAGAATTACGCAGAGTAGATGCCGCATTTATTATAATATCATCCCATGGTCATGGAGAGTATGGAAAACAAGAAACGGAAATTCAAGGCACTGATTATCTATCACCGAATTACAAATCAGTATTTTGTACAGACATAATAGATTATTTCACAGCGGAACAATGTCCTAATCTTTGTGGTAAACCAAAGATATTTATTTTTCAAACTTGCAGGTCAGTATTATGTTCAGTCATTTTATTACACATAAATGGCACATTTAAACTCAAGTGTTGTTTAATGTGATCCATTTTTTATTGTAAACATTAACACTCTACTTTAAAAATGTTTCAACACGGTAAACCATGTCAAATGTATTTTTACATACATTAAAATTTTTTTAAGTATTTAATTTTCCTTGAGTGTTCAATAGTGTCATATAATTGCACAAATTGTAGCTGAATGCACGCACTTTTTCGTCATTTTATGTTTGAAAACAGTGTTAATGTTTATATGCTTAATTTTCAGCGACATAAAAAATGAAAATTCTCAAAGATGTACTAAGATAGATCGAAACAGCGTGAGCTTAAATAAATCATCAAATTTTTCTTTTAATCATATCAGGGGTAATACTCATCAAAAAGCTGTTTCGAGAAATGTCACGGATACAATATCAACAGAACATCCTGATTCCGAACAACCATATGACTTATCTTCTCGTAATTATGAAGATACTCTGATAGCTTATGCCACATTACCTGGTTACGTTTCTTATCGAGACAAGTACACTGGAAGTTGGTTCATACAAATTCTGTGCGAAGTATTCATGAACTATGCATGTGAAAGACACATACAAGATTTGTTTGTCATGGTATGATATCTCAAATGTGGTTGTTGTGTTTTATCAAGTTGAATTAATATCTGATAACTAAATCGTCCACTTTCAGACTGATAGGAGATTAAAAGACTTGAGGACTGGGCACAACGGTTGTCAAACATTATGGGTGATCAATCAAGGATTCCATAAACATTGCTATTTAAATCCTGGTTTGTTTCACAAGCCTGGTGGAGAAAATAAATAGAAAGCATCTACTGCCAAATTATGAACTAATGCATTTATTTTTTTTTTACTTGAAATGCAAATATATTTTTTACTATTTGTGGATTACCTATTTGTAGTTATAACAAACAATTTATAATTAATATTTATGAGATGTATTAAACTAAAGAATTGTATTTCGTGAATCTAGTGGATTTTTATCAAATGTAGATAAATAAAATTTTTTATACGTATTTTTATGCAGTTTTATAATACATAGCAAACAAACATTTTTTAGTTTTCCAAATTCTTTTGAACGTATTCTTAAAAAACCAAAAAATAAGTAAATTTTTTTATGCTCTCCAAAATACGAGATTGATTGAAGAAGAAATAATTTTTTATCCTCTCTACTTATAATATAATATGTGTATTTCTCGTGCAGGAATCAGGAACAAGTCAATAATTCTTTTACTTGTTATTTTAGACACACAAGTTTAATGAAAACATACATTATCTTTATGTACATAGTCATTACACTTTAATCAAATAATTTTATATTACCACTTTTTTTAGAACCTTCTTTGGGACACTACTTAAGTAGTGACTGTACCTATATGCATATGTGACAACGCCATGAGCTGCGTTCTATGAACATACTTAACATACACGTACATTATACACAAATACTGTTCTGATACTATGATTTAAGAACATTTGACTTGTTTAGCTCAACCTCCATCCAGTCCAGCGTCCAGCCTCTCTTGGGGGGGGGGGCTCACATTGAAATGTATATCTGTATGTCTGTATCTCTGTATGCAGGCCTCCGACCGCGAGCACCTCCGATCTCCGACTTGGAGGGGTCCGAGCTGAGATCTCGTACAAATCTATATTTGACAGTGTTTTAACAGTATCGGTAACGACTGTAACGAGCTTGTAACAGGGAAAACCTGTTGCCGCATCCACGGCCAACTTGAGATAATTTAATGCGTGATTAGGCAAATTTTTCGAAATGTGTATTCGATCTATTAAGTAAAAGTGATGTTGCTGCCTTCGATCCTTACGTAAAGTAAAAGGTGATCAATTTAAAAGCACTTGTTGCTTTCTCCTATAACGTACGAGCTCCTTAAGCTTGTTCTCTTTTGTTAAGTATGAGAGGTTATTTGGATTTTTTTTTTTTTAATTTATGAAACAATAAGGGTTTACTAATATCAACCGAACTTTGACTTTCAATGAAGGTTTTCTGAATGTATTTGTTGTACTATTCAAAAATGGACGTCATTAATCTTACATTTTATAATTTTTTTGGCATGAAAGGTACAAAATGGAGTCAAATATACAATTAAGTGTAAATACATACAAAAACTTGATTGAAAATCTGAAAGAGTTGAATCTTGATGACATTGCAAATCATCTCCAAAAAAATGTCATTGACACCAATTTTAATAATCAAGTGGAGATAAATAATGAAGCAAAAAGACCTGTTACCCCAGTATCAGATAATTCTGACTGCAATTCTTTGGACTCGTCGGATAATGATTCATCCAGGTTCTTACTACTATTTTTACCATTTTCTTGTTCAACCACGCATTTTTCTGTTGTATTATAAATAAATATTTATATGTACCTAGGGAAGATAATTTCCATACAAAGCTACAAGTAGTTATGGAACCACTTTGCATAAATGTGAAAAAGTCAACGAAATTTAGAGATAGGCCTGAAATCAAACACATAGGAGTTTATCCGATGAGAAGCAGTCCCAGAGGACTTGTTTTGATTATTGCCAATAATTTGTACAAAAAGGAAAAAGATAGAAGGCCTAGTGCTAAACATGATGAGGCCAACTTGAAACGACTTTTTGAAGACATGGGATTTAAAGTACTACCGTATTTTGATTTAACTGGAGAGGTATGAAAAGAGCAATTTAAATGAAGAAATTTAAGATACATCATGTTACAACAAAATTGTACTTATAGGAAATTGAAAAAAAAACGAAAGAATTTTCACAAATGCCAGAGCTTCGCAAGGTGGACTCTGCTTTTGTAATTGTTTCTTCTCATGGCAGTGGGAGATTAGGGCAACAAGAAACAGAAATCCTAGGCGTAGACTACAATTCGGTAGGATATAAAAAAGTCGTTTGTACAAAAATAATGAACTGCTTCACTGCAGAAAATTGTCGGAATCTATTGGGAAAACCAAAAATTTTCATCTTTCAAACTTGCAGGTGTGTGTCTCCAAAAACGTTAAACATTTTTTTTTTTCTTAATTCACTTGTACTCAATTCTTAAAATAAAAACTTTAAGAGGCAAGTACGAGCAGGTTGCGGTACCCAGGCATACAACAGATGCTGCCACAACTCCCAAAGCCAAGACTGAAGAGCATTATGTTCATTTTTCGGAAAAAATGAGAAATTATGAAGATATGCTAATTGTTTACTCAACAATTCCTGGATATGTGTCTTACCGAGATGAAATAAACGGTAGTTGGTTCATTCAAATCCTTTGTGAGGTGTTCATGAACTATGCTCATAAAGTTCATGTTCAAGAATTGTTTAACATGGTGATTGTGATAAACAAAATTAAAATTTCACTTTAAAATTGATATTTTTTAAAAATTGTTCTTATCTTTCAGATTGATTATCGATTGAAAGATCTTAGAACAATCGACGAACATTGCCAGACACCGTCAATAACATCTCAAGGATTCAATAAATATTGTTTTTTGAATCCTGGACTTTTTGAAGACAAGCATGAAGCTAATGGATATGTGAAGACTGATTTTACATTTAAATGTTGTCCTGACAGAAAAGCAAATATTTACGTCTGCACTCATTGCGAATCAATTTATCATCGAAAATGTGTTAAGAATCTTACAAACGTGAAGATAATAGCCAATGTTAAAGCAAATTGTTGTTTGCCATATAGACAATATGATGAAAATGACGACTCTAGATCACTAAGCGAAAATGTAGAAGAACTAAAAAAAGTTCTCAACAACATGAAAGAAGAAAACGAAAATTTAAAAGAACAAATTTCCACCCTTGAAACTCAGCATGTTAGTATTATTTCCAATGAGATACTGTTGAAAAATTCTGAACAACATTTAAAAGTCGAAAATCTGATGAATGAAAACGAAATTTTAAAACAATTGAACAAAGAAATACAAAATAGTAATGAATTACTGAAAGAGAAAAATGAATGGCTCTCTGAAAAATTGGAAAAAAAAAAAAATAGATGGCCTAAGCCTTACCTAAGTAAAGTATTAAAGAAAAGAAGAAGGAAAGTATCTGAAACCATGGAATCGTTGGAGATTTCGTTGTAAACATTACAATTTTTCTTTGTTCAGAGCGACATCAATCAATTTTTTAAGTTACGTGATTTTATTAACTATAGAGCCGTATGTTTAAACAATCAATTAAAATGTTTTTTTTTTGACAGGGTAAAAAGTGCATTTAAAAAAAGTGATAATTCTACAATATCAGATTTTAAACTGTGATAATGCATCTATAATTATAAAGTGTTGAAGTAAACTTCGTAATGCTAATATTTTTGTCTAAAGCAATAAGAACAAATAAACACTAAAGTGCTGCAATTATATAAGTATTTTTGTAACGCTAATGTTACTAGGTAAATAAATTTCTATCGTTTTACTTATTTTTCAGTTGGTTACGATTGCATTTACAGTAGAATTTAAAAAATAAAATTTTGAGATTTCAATGTCGTCTATACAGCGCTATTTTGAAACGTTGCCCAAACTATAATTGATAATGCTCCCTAAACAGATTTTTAATTTTTTAATACAATTTCCGAAAAAAATTGTAACTGCGTAAATTGTGTTCCGAGTTTTTTGTTACTCGCATAACTGTCTAAATTAAAATATCGTAAATTAATTTTTTGATGTATTTCAGAATAAGCCAGATGGCTTAGAACTATTTTTTTTAAATAGTACTTTTTTTACATTGCATTTTGCATTTCTATAAAATCGTCTTATTGCGTGTTTATTAATTCTGCATAAGACAAAAATTACCTATTTGGCAAAGAAAAAATCACGCTCTTATTAAAAAAATCGTTTTTACACTTGAGACAGTTTATTTATTCTCTAAAACTTGAAGAATCAATTAAGTTTGTACTCCATGAATCATAATCTTTGTTTCGGTTCCTAACTTTGAGAAACATTTATCGCTTGACAATTTATTACTTAATTGTTCACAACGTCACGTACAGTGCATCTTCATACACAGGCGTTACAAACGTCTTGATTCAGCTGTTTCACGAACATTAGCTTAAAAGAATACAGAGTACAATATAATACGACAATGCTATATACATTAAAGCGCGACCTTAATATATTTATTTGCTACGTAAAAAAAGTGTCGTACTGCAAGTTATTAGTAATTGAGTTGTAAGCGTCGATTAAGAACTTGGAAAAAAAAAAAAAAATTTCGGCACTTTTCTCCAATCGTATTTAAATTAAAAAATTTTCGTAATGTCCAGTGATCATGTAAATCAGTACAAAGATTCTGCATTCGAGGAACGAGGTTTCTTGATCTTTTCTAAATTTTTAATTACAAGGTCGTGTAGCGAGCAATAGCGATTGCGTATTTCACACATCACTAGCCATAGGTTTAAATATTCTTTCTCATCAAGCTCTTGAATAGCTCGTCTGTAATCGGCCAGGTGAGGATACTTGGCGACTTTACTCACAATTTTTGCTCTTGAAACAAAGTACCTGAAGATTGAAAATTATCATTGAGTCATTTAATTATTTGAAAACTGAAAAAAAAATTACTGAATTCATCAGGTTACCTTGAAATTTGATCAAAAAATGCAGCGGCTTCGCTTTCAACAGCTTGAACTTCGGCAAGTGTGTCCTCTTGAATTGAGACTCCAAAATTATTTCCATCTTCTATTTTAGGAATCATGAAGGAAATCCACATTTTTAGCTGAAATAAATAAATCATTATTTTCAAGCGTAACAAATTTTAATGTCCGGACAAACACTTACAAGATTGGAATCCTCCAGGAGCTGTCTAATGTATGGTTTAACTATAACAATTAGATCACAAAGTGGTTTATTGCACGGTACTAAGCCATTTGGTAGAATCATTACTTTGGTACCAGGAGTTTCGTCAATGCTGTTTTCTAGTTTCATTCTTTTAGAGTTTGGTCCATCTTCAGAATGATTAATCATAACTGGATCTGGAATGGGTATGTTTACATCTTGGTGGACTTCTTTCAAATCTCTGTTTCTGAACCTTGGTGTTTCAAGGATTTCATTCAGCTGGACAATCTTGTCTGGAAATCCTTTGATAATCAACTGCTCAGCCTGATGACCACAAATAACATTGATTACAAATATGATGGTGATAATTGGAGCACACATTATATTCAACAATTAAGAGTTAAAGGCTACTTTTTACCTTGGATTTGAGTGAATCTTTGTATTCTTGAACCTGCAATAGTGGAAAGTTTGAAATGATTCAATAAAAAATAAAATACAAGACGGTAATTTGATATGAAATGAAATTTTAAAAACTTTTGACTAATGTTACGAGTGATCTGCAAATAATATTTTATCAAACATGATTGTAAAATAAGGCCTCTGCAAATGCCATTGTTGCATATTGTTATATTTGCAAAAACAAGTGTTAATAAACACACACACACACACACACACACACACACTTATGCCACAGTTGATTATTTACTCGGGTTTTGTGTTTTAGTGATTTTTTTTACTATTATCAGGCAATTATTGGCAATAAGCACTTTTATTTAATGTACCAAGCTTAATACATTCATAAGACGGATCACGATGACCGATATCGATTGAAAAACTAAACACGTATGATACACAATTGAAGTACAGGGCAATGATGAGGGGGGTGGCAAAAGTATAGAAATAATAAAAATAAAAAAAACACTCCCTGGACCTTGTTCGACATTGTGAGAATGTAGATTATCCCGATAAGCAACGTCAAGCGTGATTATCAGTGTACGACGTGGATTGCCTCTTGGTGCACGAGTTAGACAATAGCCGCTGCAAGCTACACTGCAGGAACAATAACAAACGGGGAAAATGACAAGATCGAACCAAACGAGTAAGCTGACGGTGAATGTTCCAAAAAAAGCATAAATTAAGTACAAATTGGAAGGGTTAGTAAGTAGCGTAAGTAATTAAACAAGCACTGTTTAAAAAACCAGCAGAACACGGCGGCGGCGCGAGTTCATAACCTTTAAAGGCGCGAGGGGCGATAAAATGCAAACACCAACTGGCTTTGCGCGCCACGGCAGTGGCAGAACGGCACTATAAGTGTATATTGTGCCTATATACACATAAGTACCCAGTAAGTTGTATAAAATCACCACCGTAGTGTTCGATTCCCTTTACTGTAAAATCGAGCTTTTTATGCTTGTATATTTTTATTTACGTAAAAGTATATACACGTAAATTGGGTTGTTGGGGTTATTGAGTGCTCATGATATCTCACGTTCGTCACTTACCTTCTTCGTGGAGGCATTTTCCATTATTGAGTCAACTTTGAAGGTCACGTGTCAAATAAGGTACGACTATGCGTTTATCAAGTGTATTCGGCAATACGGTTCCGTTACTCCTTAATATAATTGTATTGTAGGATGGATTGTAAAAAAAAAAAAATAAAAAAACGTGGGAGCCTGCAGGGCCGCTGCTGTCCCTCTTCTTGTTGACGACGGCGTCGACGGCAGAGTGCAGACGACAAACGACGGACACTAGCGCACGCGTGAACACGCGGTTTTAAATTATATCTTTATGAGGGATCTTAGTGAGGCGCTGGTGAGGCCCATATGGTATAGGTGTAATGTATAGTCTCCAGTTAACCTGTCCGTGAAATGTACGGGAAACCTGGAATTCTGATTTATCCCTCCCATGCATGCGGTTCCAGTAGATCATCTTGGTTTTTGGTTCTTTAGATGGCGATCGGGTAACACATCGTAGGTACAGGACTACAGGACAATAAAGTGGCATCACAGGTTCTAGTTGATCAGAACGTTGTTGTTATATATATATATATATTGGCTGGAGTAGCCAGCCATTGCCAACCGTCATCAAGCGCGGGAGAAATACAAATAAAAATAATTTACACTAGAAACGAGGTGTTGGAATAAAATCTTTTCATTAATTTAACAATAACCATTGTTAACAGTACGCAATTTTTATATTCAAGTTAATCCATACTGAATACGTTCATTTTTCAATTGATAACAAGTTTGGGTAGTTTTAATGAAGTACAAAATAAACAAGTTCTTGGATTAATCACTCGCTATAACCCCAAGTTGCCTGTACAACCATCCCTTGGAAAAGTTACCTTCGGATATATTATGTTTAGTTGTTGACCTTCTTTTATTATTTCCAGCATCAGTTAAATATACGTAAGTAGGTACATAATATGTGTATACCTTGTGAGACTGGTGTTGAACGTATAATCCCATCCAAAAAATTTCATGAGTTATGTGACACGAGCCATTACAGTTAATTTTCATTAATTTACTATTAATCCGAATGAAAGAAAAGAAAGAGGAAAAGGTTTGCCGATCGGTTGTATTACAATGGCAGAGCAGGCAGGGCGACTACCGTATTTTCTACCGACGGAGGTGGCTATGCACAGTACAGCCCAGGACTGTTGGCTAAGTTGCTTGGGAGGGGTCTACGATCTCACCTCGTACATCGCGCTGAATCCCGAGAGTCTGATTTGCAAGTATCTGCTGGCTCACGCGGGTAGGGACGTCAGCCACTGGTTCGACGCTCGGATTTTCGGGGTTAGAGCTACCCTTTTAACCCTTCCTCCCCCTCCCCTTTTTTATCATTATTTTTTTTACTTTGCTGCAAACTGCGCTTCTTGATATTTTCGTTAAAATCGTCGAAGCACATTTTTTTTGTAAATTTTTCAACGCACAGCGCAAGCGTCTACGGCGCTACGTCGAACCGGCAACCGGCCTTTGGCGGATCCTTCTGCCCTACAGCAACCCGATGCCGGAGGGCGTGCAGCAATCGGAGCTCGAGGAGGACTGCGACTGCAGCTGGCACGGCAGCCAAGGACTTGCCGAAAGTGACAACTTATTCAAACGTCCACTCGGTATACTTATCCCTTCGTGAACTAATGGCACAAATACCCACAAAAAATACTGATTTTATACTTTTCATGATTTTTTGAGCTTAACGGAAGAAGAAAAAAATTAATTGAATTAATTTTGTACAAATTTATATGGGGTGCCGATTAATAAAACTTGATAAAAAAAAAAAAAAAAATTTATTGAATTTCAGAGACGCGTTCAATAAAATTCTATTAAAAAATCGTTGAACGAGTTGAGTACAGATTTCCATTTTTCGATACAAATCACGTGTTTTTCAACTCGTAAAAACAAAAATCACGCAAATGAAAAACGCAATGGAAAATAACTAACACTTTCCATTGTGACACCCCAACGATATGGGGTTTTAGAAAAGAAGAAACAAAAAAAAAGCTCAACATCCATTTGATCTCTGCAAAGTAGGCTATAGAGACGAAAACGAAAAAACCCCTCTAATAAAATTATCCGAATATTTTTCTCGACGCCGAGTTATTTCACCATACGAATACGGCCGGTCCGAACGCAGACACCCACACACCGATCGATACCCTCACAGTCTCTCGATTCATCAAGGCGTGTATTCGCCACTGCCGGTCTCTTTTTTTTCCATCTCCCTTCTCTCTCGTCCCCCTATTTCTCGTTTCACATTTTATTAGACCACACTGGGGAGCTGCAACTCAATTTTCCTAACGCTACAGCAACGCCGCGTCTATAGTATATTGCATCACGTCAAATGAACGTATCCGTATGGATTCTGTTGGGGTACTATGAGTAGACGAGGCCACTGCTTGTTGCTGCCACCGCCACTCGGTTAAATGGATTTTTTTTTTTTCACAAGCTTTATCCGCAAAACTCTGCTACTGCTGCTACTGATGGCGGAATGAAAATCCTCTGTCATTTCTTTCACGTGTTTTTCTTACTAATCCTATGCCAGCAACGGGACGTGATTTTTCTTTGCTCACTTTTTTACTCCAACTACTCCAGAGCCACTTTTTGGTACATTTTTCATTCAAGATTTATTAAAAAAAAAAAAATTTTAGCCCTGTCATAGGTATCGCTGGGCAACAATTTGATATTTTCACCTCGTTTTCATGGTTGTTACTAATTTCTTTCACACCTACGCCTCTCTATAAATCCAAACATCCTTTTTCTCGCGAATTGCCCTGCCCAGCCCTATGAAATGGTCGCAAGCTCGCAGCGACGGCATATATTTCTCTAAACAGTTTCCCCGAGCCTCACAACACGTTCTTGTATACTCGGGAGTTTGAAATGGATCGTGTGCAAGCTGCGGCGCACGAGCAGTTTTTTTACAAAGCTTTCGGTTTTTATTAAAACAGAATAAACCCACAGTTTCGACGAAAGTTTTCTAGTGGTGGTCCATCATGAGCTCACCCTAGACGAACACTCTTCTATTTTTTTTTTTTTTTTTTCAACGCTAAAAACTCATTCCGGTCAAACGATTAAAAATATGATTTTCAAAATACTCGCTGCGAGCAAAACAAGCATTTTTTTTGTAGGCGTGTCTTTGATTACGGTGTTTGGAGGAAAACAAGATTATTTTTGACGCGTCGAGTATTTTGAGAACCAAATTTTCTAAGTACAAGTATAGAGATGTCCACGTTCCAAGTCGGACATTCAAACTATATGTTATAGATATATAAAAATACATAATGCAAACAATCTATCACATTTATGCATATATAATTATAAATAATCTAAATAATATGACATTTCAACTTGATGTGAGCTTTATGTTAAGTGTATACGTGTCTATAGATGATGTAGATATTTAAATAAATACGTTATAATATATTCATAGGCCAAGTAAATATTGTTACATAAACACGCGCACAACTAACTTGTAAGCTTTGTTGTTAATAAATCGTATACAACATGTTGTAAATCAGCTGACATACGAAAACGCTAGTAAATTCATAACAAACATTGTACTGATGGGAAAAAAAATATAAAGGTTACAAGCGGTACGCGAGTGCCTGAATGAATTTGATTTCGTATTAGCAGAAAAAAAAGAAAAACAAAACGCAAGACATTAATGGAAAAAAAAGTAAGTGGTAATTTACAAACGAAATTGTTACATTAAAGTGGATCTCGTGTGGATATGCAAAGACATTAAAAGAAACGAAAAAACATGACCGAATTCAGCTGCATTCATCATAAACATCGACCGTTTCTTTCATGAATTTAAAGTAAAAGCACGATGCGGTTTCAAAAACGATAACAGCTATATGTAAAATCAATTAAAATCTAAGAGAAACGATCGATTCGCCGGCGTGAGGAACAATAATGAAAAAAAAAACAAAAAACAAAAAAAAAAAAAAACCAAGATTCGACATGAAGTCGTTAAACAGACTGTTAACAAAACAAAGTGTAAAATTAAATTAAATCAGGACCGAAAAAAGAATCAANAAAATAAAATAAAATTATTGCTAATGCGATATCAAGCATAACAAAATTAATTAAAAATCTGTGTGGAAAATGTGTGTATATATGAAAAAAAAAAAAAGGGGGGGGGGTTCAACTGGTAACATGTATAGTGATTACCTTTGTGTGTATCGCGACAACGCCGTTCTGTTCATTCTTGAGGATTACGATAAAGGCTCTACCGTTGGGTTTGACGGTGACGGTTTTACCGGTGCACCTGCCATTGACATTACTGCCCGAAATGACGTCACAGTACTTCCCGGCTGGCATACCGGTCTGAAGTTCTTGGCTAAGGTCGATCCCGTATTGTCCGTTAAAGGCGATGAATCCCCGATTTCCACGTGAAAATGCTGAAAAATAAAAAAATAAAAAAACCCCAATCGATAAATTGGAGCACAAATCATCACGATATAGGTACATTATTCCATAGCCAATATGATGTAGGTATAAACAACAACAACAACAACAACGGCTCATTTGCGTGATAAATAATAATTGCTCTCACCGATCTGGTTGTTGCCGTTGGACCACCAGTTGGCAAAAACAGCTGGTCCGACGTCATTGCGAAATCGTAGCATGCCCTGGATCTCGGGCCAGCGGTGCTCGCACACCCAGCCGTGGTTGCAAGGATTCGCCACGTTGGGGCCCCGTGCGAAGGGATCGGGCGAGATAATGTCACCTTTTTCATCGGTGGGTGGCCCTTGCGACGGATCCGTAAAATTAAACGAACTCATGAGCCTCGTCCATCCGTAAGGGTGGGCCAGCATGAAGGCCACGGCCATCTATCGATCCCACGAGACTATCAGCTGTTTCGCGGATTTTTGATATGGATAATTATACTCGTTACCTTGTAGAGCCTCGGCACTTTGTAATTTAGTATGGCCCTACCACCGGCACCGTGTCCCCGCTGATTGTCGTGATTGTCGACCATGACGACGGCGTCCTCGCTGTCGAGCAGACCGTTTTCCCGAAAGCCCCAAGTTTCCAAAGTATCGAGGCTTTCGTATCCCCGGAATTTCCTCCCAAGCTCGCTCCCGTAGACGAATTCTATGACCGTACCGAGGTGAGTGTAATCCCCTCGCTTGCTACCCTCGCCGAAGCCCAAATCGATGACCTCCTGGTAAATAAACGGACGCAAATTCGGGGGAAAAAATTCTCTTGACAAATTGTTCAGCCTTTTGTAAATTTGCTCGAGGTCGGTCGGCCACATGTGCTTCGCCCCGTCGACTCTGTTGATTAATTCATGCAATATTAAAAACTTGTCGTCCCTTCACGCGGTAGAAAGTTACAAGTACAAGGTAAAGAAAACGAAAGAGTACCTGATACCAGCGATTCCGTGGTCTATGGCACGATTGACAAACTCGACGATTTTGTCCCGTACGTTCGGCACAGCCTGATTGAGATCGTGTAGGCCGCTGAGCTCGCAATTTCTCACCTCGTTCGGATCCTGATAGCTGTTGATGGCACAGAGCTCGTTGAAGTCGCTCAAGCCGTACGGCACGGCCGGGTAGAGTCGGGTCCGAGGATCCGCCGTCGAGCCCGCCACGCCTACGGCCGGGTCGGCGTCACCGGTCATGTGGTTCATCACCACGTCGACGAACGTCCTGACGCCCACGCGATTGCAGCGTCCCACCATGTCCCGGAACTCATCCTCGGAGCCGGAGCGCGAGGCGATCTTGTAACTGATCGGCTGGTACCGCTCGTACCACGGCCGCGGTGGCTCCTCTATCAGGAGGCACTCGGAGATCGGGGATACCTATACGTTGCGTTATCAACTATGATGATCCAAACTTTCACGATCGATACACCCATGCACATATTCCGGCCCAAGACTATACACACGTACTACGTAATTTAATGTATATGAATGTTGCGTATGGCATGTGTATACGAGAAGCATTTCTCAAAGCCGAAGCGTCAATACGGCATACAATATCTGTATATATATTACATATTATGTTCCCAGTGATGCCCCGAAGTAAGGTATTTTAAGGCAAACCCTTTTAAATCCACCCCGCCCCGGGGTGTAACAACAACGATACATTTTTTGTATTCACCTGTACGGCTGCGAAGCCCATGGGCCCGAGAAATCGCTCGCATTCCTCGGCTATATCCTTAAATTTCCACTCAAACAGGTGTACCATGGTGGTCCTGCCGTCGGCATAATGCGGGTCCTTGTAAGCCGCTGAATCGTAACTGTGCGCCTGTTGTTGTACGAGTAAAAAAAAAAACAGCCGCACTAGCCTATCAACCACGCGCATTGCTGTCGCTATGAGTATACTTGGAGTATAATGTATCCGCTCAACAATCGGTTCGGCACGACAATCAACAGACTCGTTTGTCCGCCCGTTTTACTTACTTGGTGCTCTTTCGGCTATCTCTCGCTAATATACTTGTTGTGTACTTGGACCTACCTGCCTGCGGTTCACATTGGCTCTTATTTATATAGGCATCCGAATATTTGTCTGCGCACGCTCTCTCCCTCTCTCTCTCTCTCCGTCAAAAAAAAAAAAAAAAAAAAAAATTGTAAGAAGCTGCAGTGCAACGTAATGGAATTTAGTTTTCATTATGGGTAGCTGGCGATCATTATTACTCACATTAGCTGACTTTCAAATTGAAAGAGCGACTGGTGAATGGATTTTTCCTAGAATTTGAAAAAAATATTTCATCAACATTAAAATTTCACCTCATTATTTTCTATGGAAGTTTTTAGAAATGATTTCGTCAACTTCAATGTAAACGACTTAAAATAATTTCATGANTTAGCTGAGGGTATATTTATAATGAGCAGCGCGAGTGGACCAAGAAAAACAGAGAGAAAGGCGCGAATGGGGGGGAGGATTATACGGGCCTTCTGGTGATCTTGCACCCACTGATTTTACGCCGGTGAGCAAAAAAGCAGTAGAGCCCATTCGGGCTTTTTTTTTCCTCCATCGTCGGTGTTTGGCTGGAAGCTCTCCAAATACACTTAGCGTCCTATCAGTGGCCCCTGCTGCTGTACGTGTGCATGCCCTTGCCTAGCGCACGATATCCCGTCTGCTCTGCTCCTTCATCTCTTTTTTTTTTTTTTTTTTTTCAATTTCTTTCAGAGCACAGCTTTTAATCTGTTAAACAACGTCACAACTAGTCAATCATAGCGATCAAACGTTTCAACGTGGAACGAAATGAGAAATAAATATGCTGATGAGAATATAAATGTACAAACTCTTCTAGGCATGATGAAGGATCAATAATTTGGTTTATACGAGGTTAAAGGAAAATTTAATTCATCGCTGGGTAAAAGTTACTTCTTGAAACGAAAATGAAAATTACGTTATTTTTCTTTCAAACGTGCACTGTAATGTTCATCGCGATTCATTATTACTGAAGGTACATTTTGCATTAATCAACTTTAAAACATAAAAAAAAAATTGTCAATTAAAACCTTTGTCCTCGATATGTTACCATAATTTTTTTTAATGTTTAATAAGCAGGTAAAAAAAAAACTAACACGGACAATGTTTGTTTAACCTTGTTTATAATTCAAGGTAGAAATGTATTTGTTTTTTGTTGCCTTTTTAGTGGAGGGAGGGAGGGAGGAGAGGCTGAAAAATAGTCGCGAAAATAAAATAAAACAAAATAAAATTTCACGTGATAAAAATCATAAAATGTTTTAATACAACACGAAGATCTTTAAAGATGGACAAGTGATGTGAGATAAATATTTCTTTGAAATCTGAAATTCCGAAATCAGCAGCGATAAGATGGTGAAAAAACTTATTTAGGTGCTCGGCTCGTTACAGTTGAATTGATTTAAAAAAATGTTTTCTCTCAGAACGTATCGTTGAACCTACAGTTGGATGTTTTATATACATTCAAAATGAATGAACAAGTCAATAAACAATAATAGTGATGACCATGATGAGAAGATTTTAACGAGCCTTTAACCTGTGTGTGCATACATTGAATTATATTATACGTATTACCGTAGGTGCTCTACGAATAAGGCATGTAATAATTTTGCAAGTTCGGCAAAAGGGCCAAAGCGAACATTTTCGAGCCATCAGATCGATCTCTGTCGACTTGAACAACCCGTCCAATTGAATATGTTTGGGTCAGTAAACTAAGGCCAGCTGATGCAACCTCCCCACCGTTGTCAACGTGCGAGAGATACAGATATACACGTTCGATGTCGTGTCTCTTTCTACTTGTGCTTCCGCGCCGTACATAAGAACGAGCAGTCTATTTTTTTATATGTCTATATGCTTAATAATAATTGTAAGGACAAGGCCGTTCGATGTATATTATACAACAGTTGCGAATCGTTGGCTAGTTTCAGTTCACACAATTCGTATCATGTATAATGTTTACCCTGTAAGTTAATAGTATTTATTGGTTACTTGTAAATATGAATACATACACACTCATACTTACGCAAAATTTATGCCGAGTGTCAATTAAGGTATGAGCTAATAAAAAAAGCTGTCCCTACCTGTTAATCGGGATCCGGTGCAGTTGTCAATGTTTGGTACACCTACGATCACCCGTGCCGCCTGCAATCTCGTGCACGCACAATCTATACTGCCGTAGGTAAGTACACCGTATACCTATGACTACTTTTTATGTCGGGCTCGTGCATTTGAAACCAAAGGGAGGCTTACCGTTTGTACTCATATACCAACGTACGTCAACTCTCATCGAGGCGATTACAATATTATAACCCCATTCCAGAGTAACGGCATTCGTTAAGGGGCTTTTTTTCATACCCCCCTGTTCACGGCCAACTGCTCGCTTTGACTGCAGTTGTTCCGATTGACACGCGCGATTTTTTTTTTTCTTTTAGATAGCGATGGATAAAATCTGACGGCATGATTTCGGCACGAGTCGTACAGTTGAAATTTAAAAATTCCCGATGCAAGTATCACATTATTATTAAGTAGTTGGAGGAACGTGTAGAATCTACTTTTGACGTGTATTACGACGCATGCACGTATACAAGCAGATGGAAATCAAATTTTTTTTTTTGCCAAAGACATCCGCGATACTATTGTGCAGTAATTATACCTATATTTAATAGCAGCCTTGAAATCGGCTCCTGCTGATCCTGAAGCAGTTGAGCAGAAACAGCAGGATGGTTTGGCTGGCGCGCCGATGGAAGACCATTGAGCGCTGGCGGAGACGAGGCTGGCACGAAAACGTTGCCTGCAGCCGTCTCTGGTGCGGTAGCAATATTGGCATCAGCACGAGTTCTGGGAGCCTCATGAAAGTTGCGATCGTTGGCGCCAACTCCAAAACGGGTATCCACCTTTATTACCTATACATCATCGCGAATACATATATATATATATGGCTTCCTATTATTATACACAGAAGATTTTACAAGATTGTGCAGCCATCTTCATTTCAGGTGCTGAGGTGCTGATGTCATTCAGTTAGGTACATCAACGGGTATACTTACACTGTTTCCGTAATGGATAATTTTTTAACCCAAGATTTGGGTGGCTCTTGTTTTACCTTTCCAGATCACGACAACCATTTTTCTAAATCTCGTTGTATTTTATGTTTTCTTTAATCAATCAAATCTTTAATAAGTGATTTTACAGGAGTCTGCGTCAAATGACGCTTGTGCGACAAAAACCAGAACAAAAAAAAAGATGTGTGTAGGTAATATAATAGAAATTAAAATAAGTGACGTCAAACTGCCACTGACATTTTGCGAAGGTGTCAGAGTTAGTGGAACTTACTTACTTACCATGTACAACCACGCAGTTTGTGTGCAATGAGTATAATATTACGTAAAACTACAGTGTATATTGCATTGTACGAGTATAACTATATTTGGGTCAAAATCGATTTTTTCCCTTGATATAATACACATTTGCTATTGACTTGTACAGTGGCTTGGAGTGCATGTCGTGGAACGGTACCACATTGCGCAAAGCCAGAAGGAGCGAAAGTATAACACAGGCCAGTATATTCGTAGGTAGGTAGATAGGCGCATATTTTATCTACATGTACATACACTGATGCAATATTGTATGCATGTACACCCACATTATATATCTTTTAAATATGATTCTCGCATGCTTGCGTATATATCTGTGAGGAAATTTCTTTTTACCTCTTTTATCGAGATATATAAGTAAGTAATCGGCGTGAATTATCGCTGAATTGAAGTGTTTGGGTACTGTACATGAACCAACACTTATACATGCGTGTTACGTGTATGTATAGGTAGGTATACAAATAAGATACGAGTGTCGCAAGCGAATTAGGATCCGAGTTTACTTCATGTACACTGACGCTCTAAAATCAAGCATAACAATCAATTACGTGATGTATTACTTTGGTGATTTTATGTTCCTTATAGTGGGTCATCATAAAGAATCGTTTCAAAATCTCAATTTTTTTTTTTTTTTTTTTTTTTAAATTCATGATCGAATTGAATCGAATTGTTGAATTTTCTTGACTTGTGCCGTTCTTATAAATATGTAAGAAGCAAAGAGCTGTATTGGCTACGCAAGTGACGATAACTCAAAATGGAACTGCTAGATCTTATTTTCTGTATGCAAAAGCCTTGGAATTTAGTCTCGTGAAGGTTACTTAAACATTGAAAAATCGCCACGGGGCCTAGATCGAGTGGCGAAAAAAAAAGTTGTTTTTCATCCTCCCAGGCTTCCTTTTATAATTGTATTCTTTGTCCGCTATCCGTCTCCGTCCCTTTGTCATTCCCTGCAGCAGCATGTATAGTAGGGTTATTGGATATAAGCAAGTAGGTAACACATGCCATCCCGATGACCGCTCACTTTCTATCCGATGACGTTACCACGTGCACGCGAGCTGCTTCCGCGCGCAGTGTGGATGTGTTTGTACGGCCCCTGTGTAATATACGTATGCGCCAGTATTAATTATTAAGTAAATATAGGTGACTGTACTTATGTATACTTAATGTATAAGTTCAAGGTGCAGCAACGACAGAAACAAAAGTACCCTTGTAAACAAGTTACGCGGTGCGTGTCTTGTGGGGGCACCAGTCAAATTTTATTACCAAACTGGGTGTACCTGTACAATTTATGTTATATGCACGTATAGGTAGAAGCCTGACGCTTTGCCTGAAGCAGTCGGGCTTGATCGATGAGCTAGCGGTGTACGACGCGAGGCCGATCCGGGGCTTGCTCCACGAGTTGAGCCATACGGGGCGTTGCAGGAACGCGCGACACGACAATGCAGGAAACAACAGACAATACCTCGAGCGAGCCCTCCGCGACGCCAAGGTGCTTTTACTTGCGAGCAGCCGTCCTAGGCTCAACGACGAGGTTGCCGATCTGCGCCAGCTCGTACCCAATATCGCCAAGTACTGTCCCAAGGCAAGTGTGCGTATACACCCATATTGTCATTTGTGCAATTGCTCGCTCAACTCCTTATCCACATTTTACTTTATCACTGATGAATAATTATACGTAAATAAACAAGTATATGAATACATAAATATCTATAGATAATATAGGTGCACACATCATAAATGCCAATCGGCTCATCTGTGACATTTTTTTTTTTTTTTTTCCCCACATGTGATAATAATTTTCATTCTTGTGACTGTACAGTATATATATATATATATATATATATATATATTTGGTTGCCATCTGCACAAATCCAAACTCGAGCGATAATCATGTATCTAAAGCATGTGTAAGGATTCGGCAGAAAACTCTCCATGCCCATTCTTCTCCGTAAGTCAATGAGTTGACGTCCAATACCTATTAGGTGTATCTATACGCGACGCGCGTCGTTCAATGCTGTTTCGAAACTGCTCACTTAAGTTTGCGAGCGAAGAAACAAAGAGCCGCGCGTTACTTGAGCACAAATAAGTATAATATATAGGTACGGTTAGTGCAGGCCAATGAATTCCGGCCCCTTAAAAGAAGATCAGAACCTTATTGGCGAAACATTCCACCTATATTGATCGGACGTGGTGTGTAGGTATACGTCTTTGTTCCCCCCCCCGGGGCACGGCGGCACGTGCGTGCGTGCATCGCAATTACGAAAAGCTAGAGTACGCCCATTGTTTGGTTCTTTGTTTGTTTCATTTTCTCTCTGTCCTTCTTTCTCCGACCATCTTACATTTTATACATCGTCATGAGATACTTTTGTCGTGGCCGCATCAACAAACAATTTACTTGAAAAACTTTCATATGAAGTTTCAATAGCTTTGAATAACTCGAAGGGAGAGAGAGAGAGAGAGAGAGAGAGTAGGAAAGAAAAAAAACAACTTGAAAGTGTACGATGACTTACATATCTTTTACAATTGAATGGTACAACGTTATAATAATAATAATAATAAAAT